TTTAGCTTATAAAGTACCAGAAACGTAATTTAAGGGCAAAGGTTTCTTCCATACTACTCTATAGTGTACTTTCATATAAAAGCGATTAAATTGACAATAACCAGTGGGTTTATAAAGTTTGAACTCTCCTCGGTTCAGTCGATGGAAAGCTATTCACAACCTAGCAGAAGTACTTCTAATAATAATAACAATAACAATAATAGTAATAATAACTTATAGGAAAATGATTGAGAGCAATTTGCAGAATCGCTTAGGCTGCAACCAATATGGAGTTTCAACTGCAATCTCTTTCATTTCTTAGGCCGCTTGAAAACGATACATTACATGAGTTAGCTATTTCCTTTCGACATGCTATCATAACTACTATAACCTAATCTATCTCTAGTCTACTAATCTAATCTCCTTGAGTAGATCAGAGGGACAACGTAGTGCATTATAATGATCTGTAAATATGCACTCGCATTTTAAGGACTTTTTAGTTGACAACCAGGAGGTACTTTTGCAGGTGATCATATTTAATCAAAACAAAGAAAGGAATGATAATAGGATCATGGAAAGGTATGGTAAATATGGAAATTGAATGAGACCCTGAAGTAATGGCTGAAAGTAAATAAATTTGGTTGGAATTTAAGTAAAACAAAAGGAAGACGCCAAACAACAGACTGAATAAAGGGGAAACATGGAGACGAAATTCGAGTTTAAAATAAGTAAAAAAAGGTACAGCCGAATCTTTATCTATCATATTATAGCAAAATAGAATAAAAAAATATAATCTTATAAATCACTAATTTCTTGGGGGAATACGATATACGCTGAATTAAGTTAACTTATGATAACAATTTAGTTTTATGTGTGGGCGGAATCAAGAATTGCAACAAGAAGTTCATCATCATCTGTTATTGAGCTAAAGAAGAAGCTATCTGTGGAGTTGCCACCTCTTTCAAAAGATATTCCTAAAAAAAAAGAATTAAATCATCGTGTTTTGTTGAAAAGCCTATTCTTTAAAGATACATACCTGGTGATCGATAATTCACCTCTCGGCATTCTGGATCCAGACACTTCTGGTAAATTGTTTTCTGATTCAAATCCGCTACCAATCTAATAAAAAGAAATAAAGAGGTGGATGGAGAATTAGATAAAACTATGGTAGAAAGGACTATAAGAAATGTACAAGCTTCATCAATATTTTGTAGCAGAAAATAGGGAATGAAAAAATTCACTCTGAACTATCATACAAAAGATGGCCTTTTGAGTTAATAAAATAAAAATTAGCCCTAATTATAATAGTCATCATAGACATTGAGACAAAATACCATTACAGCATAAATAGCATTTCGTTAACATGTTTAAAAGCCTGTTAACCACTGCGCACTGAAACTTCAAGATAAATAACATTAAGAGGTGAAATAATTACTAATAAAGCTCTGACAAATTCTCTCGGATTTATCGAGCCTCCATAGTATTTTTTCCTGCCTAAAAAGTTAGGGTAGACGCTATTTCCACCAATATAAAATCGCATACGCAGATTTGCTGGCTTTTAGATAGAATGATTTGCTTCATGGTCTATAAAAATATCGCTGACTCTTGAATAATTTTTTTTTAAACCGTAAATTTTTAAGCCTGGCTCGTGAACG